AAGGGCATCGCTACTAGGAGCAAGGACGCTACTAGGGGCTCCTGGCCGTACTACTAGGGAATGAACATCACAACCCGTGGTCACGAGTCTGAAGTCGTAGGGAGTCGTAGCGAGCATTGACGTCTTTCTTTCTGGTTAAGACTTTCCTTTCCCAAAGCCCTTTGTTCCTAATAGCGATGCCAGGAGCCCCTAGTAGCGTCCTTGCTCCTACAAGTACGGTCAGGAGCCCCTCGTAGCGTCCTTGCTCCAAGTAGCGATGCCCTTTACTTTCCTTTTCTTTCTCTTCTTTCTTCCAACCTAATTGCGATGGCCTCCAACCGAATGAATAGCGATGGCCTCGAATCTGATAGCGATTGTACCACCCTTTTCTTTCTTTCTTTTGTTCTTGTCTTTTGCTTCTGTCTTTCTTCTCTTCGTGTTCATTTTCGGAAGTGACATGAACCGTCATGCCTTGGCAGAGAGCTCTGCAGCAGTCGGCATCGGCCTCTAGATATATCAGATAAACAGAATCCTCATCTGTCTGCTTAATTGCATGTATTCAAGACACACACACACACCCCCAACCTGGACATAAAGGCCTGTGCCAAGGCTTGCAAGTGTCTGGCACAGGTTGATTGAAGCGCAAAGCAGTGTCGTCGGCTTGTATAGTGCTGCAAGTTCTTTTTCGGACAATTTTTCTGCGATGTTTATTGCTCATACTAAGGAGCACGGTCGATGTTTATGCGCTAGTTTGACTGTCTTGTCTCGACAATTGGCAGAAATGAGGAGTAACAAGGACGCTACTAGGAACAAAGGGCGTCGCTACTAGGAGCGATCGGACGCTATGAAGGGGGCTTGAATTTGACCTGCAAAATGCCGCGGGTGAGCTATGAGACACAAATTCTAAACACCCTCACACCTCAAAGTGTGTCCCAATCCCAGTAAATGTAATTCTTGATGGAAGCATAGAAGCACTCCTATTGGAGACAGCCATCAAGTCCAGCCGCGAAGGCGAGCACGGCAAGCATGGTTCGCTAAGGAATGCTATTGGTAGTAAGGAGTAGTGAGGACTTGGGACATGTGCAAACTTGAGGACCTCCACAGGGCAGGCATGTCAATGATATGAGGCCAGGCGTTCCTTTTTCCCATCTGGAGTTGTCCATGGATGGTCCGGCATGTCCAGAAAGCATTGTTTCCGAGCGAGAGATCAATGATTGAACAATGTCACAAACACAACAATCGTAAAAGCACAGTAGCAGGTGCATCGCTAGTAGTAACAAGTGCCTTACTAGTAGTAACAAGCACCTCAAACCTGGTCTTCACGATTCAGCTCTTTTGACTTGAGGCACGTGTTTCGTTGTTTGTGCTTTTCGCACATTTTCACCACCTCACCTCACCACCTCCGAAACAAAAAACAGGTTAAACAGGTTAAACACCTCATTGATCCACTCAGCCGTAGCTAGTGCTCAGGGTCCCGTGAGACTTCTCCGACGCAATCGCCACCTCTGTCTCGGCCTCCGAGTGATGCTCCGCAACACACTTCGCTTCAAGCAACGAGGGCATCGCTACTAGGAGCAA